ACTAAAAAAATAACAAACGTGTATATTAATTCAGTTATAGTGTTTCAAAATTAGAAATACCTGTATATGACCTTTTTTTAAAACCTGTATATGACCTTTTTTTTTTACCTGTATATGACCTTTTTTGAACCTGTATATGACCTTTTTTGAACCTGTATATGACCTTTTTTAAACCTGTATATGACCTTTTTTTTTTACCTGTTTATGACCTTTTTTGAACCTGTATATGACCTTTTTTTTTTACCTGTATATGATTGCTGTTGCTTGACATTGTATTTACTGCCTATTGTAAATTTTAAAGAAAAAGTGTGAGGCAGACATGCTAATTTAGTAAACTGGTATTATTTGTTATCAAAGGCTGATGCCATTCCATTAGTCTATATATTTAGATATGATTTCTCAACAAATTTTTTGTTTATTCAGGGTGACAGAAGCTCTCACTGGCCAGGAAAGGAAAGTCTAGACCAAAGAGCATCTGTGATTGTGAAACAAAGGTCTTTGGAGAGGGGAGGTAACTTAATGCCACCCCCACGCCAGAACTCTGTCAATGTAGGTTCTTTATTAATCAAATTAGTGGTACTTCCATAATTTTAGTGAAATCCTGTTAAGGAGAGAATAGTCATGGTCCACTTTTGAGAGCTTAAAAGAGCTTGAGAGAGCTTAAAGTTGAATTTATGTTTCCACTGTCAATTGTTTTAAATGATTGTTTTGGGGTTCACACAATGACTAATTGCTAACAACCTCTACAAATTAAATATGGGACTAAAGTTAAAGCCGAATCTCTCTTCCAAGACTCGAAATTCAAAAGCTTTGATTTAGCAGTGAAATTCTTTACTATCATTGACAGTAAATCCTTTTTTTGAAAGCTGTGTCATGCAGACGAACTCTGAATACATTGCCTGATGCACCCTTTTGATTTTTAATGAAATTCTATTAAGCATGATTAGTTTAGGGATTACTGAGTTATATCTGTGTGGTTTTGTCTTCACAGAAAACGAGTGTGCCTTCATCTCCAACAAAAACTAATGTATATGTGACTATCAGTGACTTCACAGACACAGTGGGGGATGGACTTAGTTTTAAAAAGGGACAAAATGTCTTTGTAAGTACTTAATATTACTAACATATTTGTTTTCTCTATTCTAAGATAAGATAAGATAATTTTTATTGGTCCAATCAACAGTTTGACTACAACCAGCGCTTTATAAATTAGACTTCTATGTACTTCTCGATGACGACAGATGATCATGTAACACTCTGATCGAAAGTGGGATGAAGGAGTTTTAAAATCTTTCTGTTTTAGTCCTAATGGAAAGGAGACGACCACTTCGTTCAGATCTTATGTAACAGTGGTTTAATGTGTGCAGAATTGGAGATTTTTACAAGTAATGTTAATCACAGTAATCTCCTCTTTGTTTACATTTTGATTTGTAAGATTTAGACATATTCTTTAAACTACAATATTCTTTAACATTTAAAAAAAACAGAAGGGATATGGAGAAATGTATGGGTGACATAAGGTAAAAGTAATAAAAATTAAAATAGGAACACGGTGAAATATTTTGAGAGAAATAGATAAAATAAGCAATTTTATGAACACTAAATTATAAGATCCAGTTGCCAAGTAGCAGTTGACCTTCGCATCAATGCTGCTTTATTAACTCTAGTATGTTGGTCATTTATTTTTAAATTCATTTTGAGCTGCTTCCTCAATATAATATATTTAATATGTTTTTTTTAACCAAACCAGGTTTTATCAACACACATTATCTCTTTCCAAGGATTTGAATTATCAACTTCGTCTAAAAAAAAAAAAACAATTCCTAATTGGATTTTAAAGACTAATAAAAAAAACCTGTTCGTTTAATTCTTGAGATTGCATGGTCATACTGCACTCCCTAACCTTTTGAATCAAAGGCAATGCCTTATCTATTATTGAATTCTCAAAAGCTTCAAGATATGCATGTACTGGTCTTTGGAAGGCATCTCCAGTTAATGAGTCTTTAGTGCATGTACTTGTGAATAGCAGTTTACATCCAACATTTCTGAGTGATGCCTCCAATCATTTAGAACATTTTCTAAGGTCTATGTAGCTTTATATCTGTCAGGAAATGGGTACTAATGTCTACTTTGAATAGGAGCAAAGCCAGTATCTTGAATTCACTGTTTTTCTTTTCTTCAAGTAGGCTCTCTTCCAATAGTTGTTCTAAATTCTGCCTCTTTTCCTATTTAGTCATTGAATCCCTCATCCAAAAGTCACGTGTGAGCTTTATTTAGTTTTGCCTTGGAAATAAAAGTGCCATATAAGGCAAGCTTTGGATTTTGTGTGAAAACATAAGCTCCTTTGTTATTTTGTTCTTTTTTTGTTTTTAAACTCATTTTGATAAAACATATAAAACATAATACATAGTTGTATAATACTAAAATGTAATTGTTTATCTAACAGGTGACAGAAAAATCCAACACTGGTTGGTGGTATGTAAAAATGGGAGATAAAGAAGGCTGGGTTGTCTCTTCATACTTATTGCCCTTACCTGAAAACACAGTAAGTTTCCAGTTTAATTAAGTGTAATGGAGTTTAAAAAGCCCAGTATAGCATGAGGGAAAAAAATAATTAAATTTAACAATAAAAAGCATCCTGCCAAAAATCATTGACTGTGATTTGAACTGTTACTATCTTTTAGAGAAATTATAATTTGTTAGTTTCTGTTAGCTCTTTTTCTCCTGACGATACTAACATTGATTTGACCCCAGTAAGTTAAATTAATTTTTTGGTTTTATAAATTTTAATTTGTGTTATATAAAAAAAGCTTGCATTTTTCTATAATTATATGCTTAATATAATATTTTTTGATTACATACAAACAAGTTATTGAAGTTTAATCATAACACAAATGAGCGAAATGAATAATTCCACCAGAACGTGGAAAATAGTTAGAGAAAGAGTTAAAAAGACATTGTTCTGTTGCCAAAAAGCTTAATAACTTAATTTAGTATTAAAATATTTATAGTATGCTTTTTAAAAATCAATGTTCAAATGCAAAATTGGGTACATAATTTGTTTGTTAATTTATTTAATTTATTATTTTTTTTTCAGTCTTTAAAATCCGATTATGAATTGGCTTCTTTAGATGAAGTTGATAATAATAATTCTCACGACTATGATGATGAAGATTGGTATGTGGAACCTGAGGATGATGGGATAGAAACAATCCCTCCACCGGCAGATAATACGGCTAAACGCCCATTGCCAGCTCTACCAGCAAATTTGGAGCAGCCAAAAGCTTCAAAACCTCTGCCTGTGTTGCCAGCTAAAAAGTCTGAAGGATTCAAACTTCCTACACCACCACAAAAGCCAGGAGTCTCAAACATTTCACAGCCAAGCACAAAGCTTCAAGATGTTGTACTGAAACCTGTCTCAAAACCTCCAGACCCACCATCAAAACCTACAGCAAATCCAGTCACACATTCTGAACCTCAGAAAAAAACTGGTGAAGAGCGGCATTCTGTAGGTGGCTCCCTGGACTTAGCATCACAGCTCAAAGCCAAATTTGAATCACGATCAGGAACTGCTGCACCAGAGGTCACAGAGATATCAATATCTAAACCAGGACCTTCTAAATTTGGCAGTCCAATTATACCTCAAGGGAAACAAATCTTAACCCCAAAAGAATCTCAAGAAAGTAATCAATCTTTAGCAGTTAATCTTAAGCCAGTTCCAAAACCTCCTCCACCATCAAAATTAAAACCAGCTGGTGTGATACCATCTACAGCATTAAAACCTGTAGCTCAGACAGGGGCCAAACCTTTGCCTTCAGCAGTCAAACCAAATCCAACCTCATCAAAACCTACTCCACCTGCTCCCCCACTAAAGCTAAGCATAAAGCCAGAATCAAACAATAATATTCCAACAAAAAGTAATGTTAAAAATTTATCATCCACATTTGATGCTTCCTCGAGTGTAGAAAAAACAACATCGTCAGCAAAACCTAGTTTGCCTGGCAAGCCTAAACCTGTGTTACCATCTAAAGCATGTTCAAGTACTCCGTCAGCTGTAAATAACAAGGCTGGCAACCAGAATGTCAACAATTTAGTCAACAATTTGAGCAGCAAACTTAATTTTGGCCAGAGTTCACTGACCAACAGGGCAAGTGGTACACTGGAAGATAAACCTGCTACCAGCTCAGCAAAGCCCCCAGCAGCCCCCAAAAAGCCATCTGCACCTGCGAAGACGAGTGCACAGACTGTCACACCAGTGTCTCCAATGGCCAGCATGTATATTGCTATTTCTTCTTTTGTGGCTGAAAATGAAGGAGAACTTGGGTTTTCTGAAGGAGATGAAGTTGAGGTTTTAGAGGAGCAGAACGACTGGAGTCATATTCGGTGCTGGGATGAAGAAGGTTGGGCACCTTCCAGCTACTTGCAAAAATTGTAACTTCAAAACACAAAAGTGGTTGAAAAAATAGAGTTTTAAAGCCTTTCTAGAAATATGTAGCCTACATTTAAGAGAGACATTTAAATCATCAACTGTCCCTTGACTTTCATGTTCGGTGTGCTGACAGTTCATGTAACCAAATCCCTCAACTTTTCCCGGCCAGCAGCTTTTCTTAGCAGGATATTAAGAGAGAGGCCGGTCCATTCTTTTATGTTTAAATAGGGTCCAAAAATTCTTAGAATATTATAATACATTTTAAAACATTTTCTTTGAAATGATCACAGTGGAGAAATGTTCTTTTATTTCATACCTTGAAACTGCTGTTACTTTTTGTTGTTTACCTCCAACATTCCCTCAGCTTTCTTTCTTATCTTATGATAAACACTTTTTAATATTTGCTATCTACTAACAAGCCATTCTTTTAAGTATTATTGTTATTTGTGTAATGTTCTTTTTAACAATAGTATAAGTTGTCTATTTAATTTTCAAAAATTCCATGCTTCTGTTTTTAATCGTTGATGTTTCCAGCATTGTGACTTTTTTCTTTGATATCTTTATTTCAATGTGTGGGTGAACACAGAAGGTGCAAACAGCTCATTACATAATTGACATGTCTGCTTTATGATACTATTGTATAAGCCTTCAGCTGAGTAGAATATTCTTTACAGTTACTATTGTGAATTGCCTCTTTTTTTTTATTGTTATACTACACACAAAAAAACAACAACAACATATTCACCACTTTTTCAATAGTTTTGTAGAAACTAATGTTTAATGTGCCTTTGGGACTACATTCTAAAACTAGGGAAGAAAAAAGCCAGTATTATCACATTTCAAAATATTAAAAACTTTATTTTAAATCTTCATTGGCCAGATAGGAATTACAATAAGTATTTGTTCATTCATTATAGTTGTTTTAGAAATAAGGATTCTGTGTAATGAATATTTTTCTCAATTGTTCAATATTAAATTTTTACTATTTTCTTTACTTTTTTGTATTGCTAATCAATTATTTTATATGATAAATTCCTTGCAGTATACCATTTAAAGCATTACTAAATATATTTTCTTCATTATATTCTTAGAGGATTTATCAATTTAAATTAATTTTATATCTTTATTTTGAACCTCAATAACAAAAACTGCAGTCACAACTAACCTGAACAGGGTGTGTTATGGCCAAGTGTGTTATACCATGGAAAGATGCTAAAATCATTGAATAAACACTCAGTGAAGTGTTATTCAAAAGTTATAGTAAGCCTTTAATTAGTAATGAGGTTGTAATTTGTTATGTATACATATGTTGAGAAGTGATTGAAACATTTCTTATAACTATTTTAAACTTTTTAATCAAAATAAAATTTTGTAAATAATGTTGTTTTAGATAGCCTTTCAGCTTGTTTAAATGAAATGTTCTATATCTGTGGTATGACGCTAGTAGTTGCCAAAGTGTTTGCTTATTTAATTATTTGATTGAAGTTTTTGTAAGTTCAAAGTTAAAGAGAAGTGATCTAGACTAGTGTCTTGTCATAATATTAAATAATAGTCAGGGAAGATTGGTCAAACAAGCTAGAACCACTTGGGAAAATCAAGAAGGCTGTGTATTTTTAGTGTTGAAATACCAAGATCTTTTGTACTTTTATTTTTACAAAGATTTGTTTTATCGAAGCCTATACTTTTTTGTTTTGTTTTGTTTAATAACACAACCATCTTTCATTTCATTCAAAAGCCAGAAAGTGTTAACCAGAAAGAATCTGTGATGTGTGTTCAGAACATTTTAACTTGTTCATGTGATTAACATAATTATTTGTTTCATGGAAAAAGATTTTTAAAAAGATTTGTTATAATCCCTTATGTTAAAGTTTTTGAAAGGTCACATTCAAAAAGTTTTCAAATGCAGTGCCTATCAAAGAGGAAGTATGAATCAATGTCTTTCATTCCAAAAGTATGCCTTTCTGTTTTGTGGTATAGTTATTCAAAATGTGACCAGTTGTTTGTATTATAATTTATTTGCCAATGTTATTGAAGTAATTTTAAAATAAAACTTGTTTTTATAGTTATAGTCAGTATGATTTTTAAAAATGTGTCTTAGTGCATTTTTTATGTTTGTAATCATATTTGATTTTGCAATATTGTTTTCAACTTTAGATATAGTTCATATACACTGAAGACCAAACTGCCTATACTTGAATGTTGTTTTTGAAAAACTATTTTGTACAATTTTAGTTTTCATAGCATAATTATTAAAAGAACTTCAATTTAACAATGTTACCAAAATGAAATAAGCTTGTATCAATTCAATTTTTTGTTAATGAAGACTGACTATTGTTTTATTATTAAAAAGCTATTAAATTGTTTGTGACTATTATAAGACTTCTTTCCACTTGTCCAAATATGTGCCCATGTCAATCTGAAAAGCTGTGGCATGTTTATGTTTGTCTTATGAGGGAATTAAGTGACTGGTAGAGAGATCTGTTTAGTTTCAAACAAACTGGACTATAAATAATTGTTGAAAAGAAGAAAAAAAAGTGTTTAATTTGTTACAAGCTTGACAAGCTGAATGCTTTGTTGAGGAGTTTGTTTAGAATGGGAAACAAATGACAGGAGATATAGATGGACTGATTATAATTAATGCTCATTCCTGAATAGTGTTGTAATCGGTAAGAAACTTTTTTTTAAAGCATAGAATAAAATTTAGAAAATTAAAATTCTTGCTTTTAATCCAGCATAAGAGATGGTTTACAGAAGTGGTTCCCAAACTTTTTTATCTCGTAGACCCCTTGCCATGGTTTCTGATTTTCCGTAGACCCCTGCTTAACTTGTGTTGCATCATTGCAAATCAATCAACATTTTTTAAAACTAATGTCTAACTGTAGTGAGTCTAAGAGTGAAAAGGCAATTTAAAGCTACATTTGAAGTTATACAGATTGATAAAATTTAAATTTAAACCAATTAAAATAACACAATATATATTTCTGGAATCAGACACACTGGAAATGTTTTGTTTTTTTTGTAGGCTCATCATCCGTTGCTACGGATATTATGTTTCATATAGGAATTTGTTGTTCTATGAAACATTAAATATTAATTCAGTAATTTGCTTTAGGTATTCTTGTCAACGTTTTCACAAAGAGCAGTTTCTCTTGTATTAATTGATCTTTCATGTCTGGCTCAAATATTGGGTCCGCACAACTGTTGTCACTAACAGGAGAAGCGGTGAAGGTGAGTAACTAGCGCCAAAACCAGTAAGCTTTGGAAAGGCGGGCGCTTTCTACCCACCTAGCAGAAGAACTGAATTCAAACCTTTGCTGCCTTGCAGCTATACCCAAACATTGATCTTTCATGTCTGGCTCAAATATTGGGTCCGCACAACTGTTGTCACTAACAGGAGAAGCGGTGAAGGTGAGTAACTAGCGCCAAAACCAGTAAGCTTTGGAAAGGCGGGCGCTTTCTACCCACCTAGCAGAAGAACTGAATTCAAACCTTTGCTGCCTTGCAGCTATACCCAAACATTGATCTTTCATGTCTGGCTCAAATATTGGGTCCGCACAACTGTTGTCACTAACAGGAGAAGCGGCGAAGGTGAGTAACTAGCGCCAAAACCAGTAAGCTTTGGAAAGGCGGGCGCTTTCTACCCACCTAGCAGAAGAACTGAATTCAAACCTTTGCTGCCTTGCAGCTATACCCAAACATGGGAAAGGTTTTGTGAGTCAACCCTGAGGAAAAAAAAGGAGCAAGCAACCCTTAGGCAGTTGCAGCAAACAGCTCTACATCCTGTCAGAGCCTGCTAGACTGTCCAAACTGTATATGTCGTTTGCAAAGAATTACATAAGAAGCTTTTAATGTTATAATTTATACCACCGATATGCCCTTGAACTGAATTGTTGTTTTAAAAATTCATATCAGATGTAGGTTTGTGTGTAATACAAGTTTTTAAAACTACTTCAAAGGCAGGTAAAATCAATGTTTTACCTTTAGTGTTTTCCGAGACATTGTATGACGCTCACAAACGCATCATCTATAAATATTTAAAGGATTAAAGGTACATTAACATATTAGTGTAGGAAATAACTGCATTAATTGGAGTGAAAATTAAAGTCACAAATGAAATGAAATTCATTATCATAGACATCTCATAGTATTTGTTCAGAATATAAAGACTAGCTTCTGTTTCTAAAACATTGACACAAAATTGTTGTTTTATTTAAGTCCTGTTTGAATGTTTTGTTTTATCTTCATTCTTTAAACTCTAGAATAATTTCTTTAACTGATATTACCTTATTGATACAACATGCATTAATAAAAACACAACATTATGCTTTAATTTATGCATTTTTAAAAATCCACATTATATCAGTCTTTGGGTTTCAAGTGATGAGTTTATTTTGCTCTAGAAGTTCAAACAGCTTTACATACAAAATGATGTCAAACTTCTAAATACATTTTAAATGGGATAATAGAAAATATTGTTCAATGCTATAGGTACTTTCATGAACAATTCACTCTCGCAAATAAAACAGTAACAATTTTTTAAAATAAAGCTTATCTAAGAGGAAGAACAAGTAAGTTGAGTTATTTGGAAGAAGCTAGTCAAATACAGTCGTAGCATGACAGTATATTATAGCAAATTATTGTTACTTGTAGCAAGTTGAATTTTAAGAAGCTAAAGCAAGTAGTTACATTAATGAAACAAATTTATGTGAAGTAGTGGACTTAGTGATATGAACGAATAATAAGTGAAGGTTAGAAAGTTATTATATTCATCTATAATCATATTGCAAGTTGGATTTATGTCATGTAAAAAAAAAACATTTTATTTTATCACATTTGTAAGTAGTTCATATTTCCTGTAATTGTTGTTAGTCAAGTCACAGCACAGTAATACTGCGTATGAATAATATGTCTACAAAATGGACCATCCTGCAATATCTTATTTATTCACATTCATTAATAATGTGACACAAAAGCTGTCCTTTAAACAATTTTTTATTATGCAGAAAATTGCTGCTGAATGATTTAACATATTGTGCACATCTTGGGCAAACATCTGATCATATTTACAGTACCTTAATGCTAGCATAGCTCCTAAAGCAAAAATGTTCCTAAATGTATAGTTCCAAAATAGTAAAATTATAATTTAAAGTAGCATCCCTAACACAACATAGGGCTATTCATTTCATTTTAACAGTGTAAGTACTAATAGTACTAAGGTAAGTCAGTAGAAAGTTTCTCTGAACATAAATTACAAAAGAAGAAAAAGATTTTAAGTTTAAATTAATCTATTATTCGTGCTAAAAAAACAAAAACAGTTCTTTACATAAACTGAAGTATACAATAATATTCAGTGTTGTTCATTAATGAAGACATACTTAGTAGTCTACAGGAAATTGTAAATATTCAACATTTTAAGTATTTAGGTTTCTGTGAATAGAAACAACAACACAAAATATTAATGACTAGATATGGTCTTTAACTAAAGAAACAAAAATAAATGTTGGAAATTCAGTGATTAAAACATGGATTATTATTTATGTCTGAAAAAGGAGTGTTTTAAAATATTGTTCAATTAGACATTTAACAAAGTTATATGGAATAGCACCAGCCAAAATGTAACTCTGATAATGCTAAAAACAAATATTGATATAAATGTAGGTTTTACTACAAATACTTTTACATAAATTTAAAACAATACGACTGACCCTCATTGAGTTAGTTAAAAAAAAATTCACCAGACAACTCATCTAATTGTTTCAAGAGTTGAAGGATGAAAAAAAAATGCTGACATTGACAAGTTGGAGCAACACAGGCTAGCCCACATAATTAATACAGACTTGATTCACCAAATAGGTAGGTCCAACTGACCCAAATCTACCATTATCAAAAAACATCATGATATATCATGACATGAGGCTTTTCCAAACTAATTTTTTTAACTGACCTTTGGATGAAGTTATACAGATGAGAAGATCAGAACCTGGAGAGTCAAGAATGCAATTTAGGAATGATTTGCTTCATTATAAGGATCTCAAGTATGATTGGAGTATTCAGTTCAGTATTTTTTTAATTTTAAAATCATGAAAAAAAGTTTATTTTTGTTTTACAATAACTTTTTAATGTTAAGCATTTTTTTTTAGCATCTGTAAGAAAATTTTTTTAAGTTAGATGAATAAGAGTACAACAACTAAAATGATTAAGTATAAACAAAAACAGAATTATTACAAAAACAACATTCATTTTGAAAACAAAAATTTAAAACACTAATAAATTAATCTATATGATAGAAATATTTATGACACATGTACTTAAATTTTTAAATTTTCTTTTTTTAAAAAAGCTCTCAAGAATTTTAACGAATATTTGATTTTCAGATTCTTAGATTATCGTCATTACTTTCTAGTGTGTTCAAAGGATGAATTTGATCTGATACTTCTATAGTTAGCGATGTTTTTTGATCTGTCAATGGACCATAGTGCAAATTCAAAAAGAACCGATTGAAACTCCAGAGAAAAACAAAAATACAACAAAGCAACACTGTTTCCCCTAAAAGAAGGTAACAGAACCACATGTTGCTCAGTTCTTTCATTAGAAAACCTAACATAAGCGGATTGATCATAGTTCCCAGAGAAGCAGATACAAGAATACATGAAGAAATAGGACCAGTAACTCTGAGTAACTCAGCCTCTGTCCATGAAAACCCAGCAGCAAATATAGCTGACATACTTATACCTGCCAACACAGCAAAAAAAATTAATGCATTCAGAGCAGAGGGGTTAACCACTGCAAAAGAAGCACTTACAAAAAAACTAGAATAAGCTATCAGCATGAATAAGCAACATAGACACAACAAATAAAAGGCTTTCAAAAATTTGGATATAAATATCATTGAAAATCTAGCAGCAGCAAATGATGCCCAGTAGATAGCTGTTATAAATGCCCCCTTTGATTTACTCACATAGCTATATTCTTTAACTAAAAATGTCATGAGAAATGATGCAAATGAATCCTCGACACAGCAATATAACATATAGAAGGAACAGAGAACAAAAATTGTAAACAATAAAGTTATTTTTGGCAGCATTCGCTGTGTGACTTGTTCAGGTTTGGGTCTAGTC